ATATTCTAAAAAGAAAAGATAAATAATAAAAATAAATAAAATTCATTGTTAAATTATTTCTGAAGTATTTTTGAATTATTATTAAACTATTTATAAATTATTATTAATTTCAGAGTTAATTATTTATTAATAATCTTAGAATATTGCAAAAATATTATTGAATTGTAACTAAATCTATAACTGATATACTAATTATATTATTCAAAATCACATATTTTCTAAAGATCAATTGATTAGTCAAATTTTTCAAGTTCAAAAAATTATAAAATTAAAGAAATTTATATTACTATAGTAATAATATATACTTAATATTTCTATAATTTTTTATTTATTTTTTTTTCTAGTTTAGTTTGCTAACTTTTTTATTCTATTACTTTATATTTATCTATTATTTCTATTTAAGTTTTCTATATTTTTACTTTAATTATATTATAAATAAATAATCAAAAATATACAAAGTTATTTAATATTAATATATTATTTGAGATCTTAAAAAAAGAATTCTATAAGAACTTGTAATTACTTATTTTTAATATATAGATTTGATATAATAGTTAGAAATGTATTAATAATAATTTTTGAATTATCTATATTTATTATCTTGCAAAACACAATAAATTAAACATATATAAAGAAGATATTCCTATAAAAAAAATAAAGAAAAATAAGTAAGTATAATTCTGATAAATATAATATAAAAATTAAGATTACTACTCTTTAAATAGTCAAAATTAAGCATTTTAAAAATATGTTAAATCATACATATTCAATAAATAATAATAACAAGATTAAGTAATCTGAAATTATTAGAAAATTAGTAATTGATAAAGCAAGCAAATTATATTTTTTATCTTTTATCATAATTATAATCAAAGAAATTATAAGTAAAGAAGATTTCAATATTATAGTTCAAAATCTATATAAAATTAAAGTTATAAATATCTAATAAAGCTATATAAACTATTAATAACTCATCTTATTAGTGAATATAATCTAGAAGCTGTTATTAAAAATATGCTTAATTTTTTAATAAGCAAGAATTATTAAGTAAATACTTCTTAATATAAAATAATATATATACAGATATATATAATATTATATAAAAATTATTTCAAGATTTTATTTTTATAAATCCCAGATAGTTGAAGAAATTATAACTTTTTGGATAACTAATACTTATAAACTCTATATATAATATTAATAAATATTTATGATATCTCTTTATATTATATATTTATAATAATTATAGATATTGAAATATTAGTACTTATTTTCTTATAAGTAATAAATATAGTGATACAATTATTAAAACACTAAAAATAATTTATAAACTTGTATCTTATTAACACTCTTAATATATATTCTTTAATCAGAGCAGTATAAAAATTAATAGTATTATAAATACTTTTCTAGAAATTATATGTAATAAATAAAACTATGATATAATTCTTTGTATCATATATATAATATATATATAACTATACAAGATCTATCATCTAGCAATATATAATTAATTAATCTTGATTATACATAAATAAATAAGAATTGGCTATGAAGAGATTATTTATAATACTATTACTACTTGTTTTGTATCTGATATTATTAACTATAATAATTAAAATTATATCAAAAATACAAAAAAATAGATATTCTAGATATGATAGTATTTATCTTTTCTATTATAAGTTATCTTAACTAATCTATTAGAATTCTTTTATAGTAGGCTTAAAAGAATAATAGTTAAAAAGTTTAGTCTTATAGATATCATGCTTGCTTCATAATATTTTTTATTATAATTTCCTACTTATCAAATACTTATATTATATTAGGAATATATTACAAGATTATTAATCTCAATAATAAAAGATGACTTAACTCTAAAAAAATATCTTTAATTTTTATCAGAAATAAATTTTTATAGTTAATCTTGATAATAAGATTTTGAAGAAAGTTTACAAATTTCTCTATCTTATTTAAAAGCTGATTGCAGATAAGATTATTACTATAAGTATAAGAATTATGAAAGAAAAATCATTATCAAATCTAATATCACCAGTATACTCTTATATATTTTTTTATTACTATCTACTTTCTTGTCAATATATTCTTTATAAATATCTTTTTGATTCTAATAAGTTATTAATAATTAATCTTTGAAAGAAATTTTAACAAATATTTATAGAAATCAGTTTTAAAGTATATAAGTACTATAAAATAATCAAAATATTTAAGTCTATTCAGACTTAAGCAGAAAGAGAGATAGAAATATGAAGATTATAGATAGGTGAGCTTTTAGAAAGAGTACAGGACAAGTATTGAGAGATTGAGAATGAAGATGATAATAATATTACTAAAGTATTTATTATATATTTAAATAAATTATTAGATCTAATTTTTAAAATTATAATATAATAGTTTATTATTTTATAAGTCAATTAATTTTATAATTGTATTTATTATTATTATTTTTTATAAAAAAATAAATGTGTTTTATTCTGATCATTATGAGCTTTATTCTTAATTATTAATCAATCAATATTATGGTCATCTGTTGATCAAAATTATTCAGCCAATTATTACTTATCACGTGTATTTTTTTCACATTACTTATCATGTGTATTTTTTTACATGATTTGAATCCGGATTGAATCCAAAATCACATGATACTATCCGGCTTTAGTGGATCTCCATATATCAACAAAAATGCACAGCCCTGAATAAAGAGATGTAACTGTACTGAAACCGGATTGTTTGTTAATATTAAAAGACTTAATACTATACTGCTCATCCCGTATCATGTATTCTGTGAGCTAAAAAGCCCAATATGAAGTTAAAAAGCCCAATATGAATGTAAGTATTGATCCAACAAAAGAACAACCATTCATGCAAGTTGAGTACTTATTTTCATGAAATTACGAATCTGGTCTTCACGTATACAGACAGCATGAAGTGAAAGCACCTTTAACTACTACAACTGCTGCTAGAAAATCAATCAAGCTCATCTTTTTGGAAGAGTATTGGAACAGTTAAGTTTTTTTTTGCATCCTTAATATGAAATTCAATAAACTTTTATGTACCTTGCCATAACCTGCCTCTCCAGATATTATCACTATTCGCTTGAGTTCAATAGAATCAATGCCATCATAAGGAGATTGTCTGTCAATAATGCGCAATTAGGTAATTTTAGCTCTCCCATCGACTTTCTCATCACATGCTCTAATAAAGTATTTGCTGACATGGTCTGATTCCCATACTTTCTGTTCCTCTGGTTGACCTGTTAATCACTCACTTCACTTAATAACAGGCGATTCTCGTTAAGAGAGACTCTATCTCTGTCACGATAAAAGAGCGCAAATAGAATTCAGGAAAGAAACCAAGAGATGGTTTGAAACATCCCACTATATGATAGTTTCTAGTAGATCATCTGTTTTTGTAGCGACTGAACATGTCGCGAAATATTTGGAGATTTCGAGCAATGTTGTGCGAACGCCTAAATCTTCACCATCAATATAAGATTGATTATCCACGTTGAAAAATGAATTCGATGAGGGACGAACAAATTAATCCGCAAATACATTCAAAAATATTTCTACAAACCGACACGATGTCATATTTTTATTGTTGCCATCTAGAAAGATTTTTGTTTTAACTCGTGACATTTATATAGTTTACCCCCAACTTTCTGTCTTGTGAATAAATGTCCTTTTCGTTAAGCACTTTTGCGATCGTGTGCGTACAAATAATGAGATACTATTTATTGTACTGTGGGAGACGATAAAGATTGTTGAGAGTTTCATATTTTTCATGGTATTTTCTCCAAGATCATTTGTGACACACACTCGTTCAGAAATTGATAAAATGTGATGAATTCTATTTTCTTGGCAACAAATCAAAGCCAATAATCGATTTTCTGAAAATTGCGTACGTCATTGACTAATTTATTCTATAATTCGAATTCAAGGAATGCTATACCCACGATGCAATATAGGCGTTTGTTGTATCTATTTATCGTGGCGAGGAAATATCATTTGACGAAAGTGTAAGTTCCTCAGCGGTTGTAGACGTTAACAATTGCCATGGTTCAGGATAGACATTTAAAAACATTGAAATAATCATAACTAATATAATGATAAATAATAAATATTATACATAGATGACCGTGTCTCAAAGGTCGGAAATACATATATCTCCTCTCGATGATTGATTTGGGGTTCGAAGTTTAATCGCTTGCTCAATTGAATCGATTTATGATTTAATAAAATGTTTTGAATTATTATATGATTCAATTATTCCAAAATGGTTCTGATGTTCTCTTACTGAAATTGTAGAATGTATTCCAGTTCATCATTCCAGGCATCCTTGGCAAATTTGCCAAGTCATACTATGTTGACAATATAATGCTTGTGATCAAATAAATATGGAGAAAATTAATTTTGAAATAGTAATTCCCATTTTTGACATATACTCTCGGATTCTTTCGACCCCGTTGCGTCCGGAAGTCGAGTCGGTCCCAATTTCGTTTCATCGTTGAAACACAGACCTTTTTTGATGATAAAAATAGAATTTAATATGAGATTCATTTGCATAACAATAAACCTATCAATGAAATAAGAAAAATACCATCATATTCGATTATAAATTCCTTAATAAAAAATCAAAGATGAATTTTTTGGTGTATGATCTTTCATTAAGTTTGGATATGAATGTGGTTCGTATATGGAGATAGAGTAACGTTCGGTATGCGATAACTATCAGAGCACGTAGCAACAAGCAATTTACTCGGATAATTTTGTTCTCTTATATACAAATCTAAAGTAATACTTCACATATCTCACAGTTTTTAGAATCGGTTACTTTTTTCCTGTGCTCATTTCATGGTTTTCCCTCTAATATGATTTAAAATAATAATAGTCAAGACATAAATAAAAATAATTGCAGCTAATATTAAGGCATCACCTACCAATCATGAAAATCTTGTATAAGTTTTTCAAGCATTAACCTCATATTTTCTTTGGAGCTCGCAGAAGTACTCCATTCTCTATAAATAAAATGACCCAATTCCATTGAGAAGCGTATTTTATAATCTGGTGTACCATTAGCACAAATTCCATCAGTTCGTCGGTCCCTTGTTCTAGACTATTCTCAATCACAACTGGCAGATGTAAAACAAAGGCCAGTGCCACTTGCTTTGAGATCGGGAGAGTCTGATCTTGCAAATCTTGTATACCTGAAAAATCATAGGAAAATATGTTTTCGGACTATTTTTTACAACGCATTTATCATGTTAATCATCACGGTAGAATTTTGTATAAACATTTAGTCATGGTATCTCTGATAATTTCTTCTCCCCTATTCATTATGCTAGAGTATACATTCTAAATGAGCAACGAATTGTTCGAAATTATTTCACATACATGTTTCAAAAAACTTGGTGATTGTTGTGTCAACCTTCCTTCTTTAGCATGTCATAAAAGGATCCAAAAATTGCTTGACTTTAAGCAATGTGGTGACAATTTCTTCTTGAACATCACTTTTCTCATCTACTCCGCTGATCAAATCTATTAAGTCATTCTTAACTATTGCTGAAGCCAAAAAAAATTAAATCCCAACGTAAGATAACGCTACCATTTCTCAACAGTTGTCATTATAAATATATTTGTTTATTTGATTAAATGTTTAAATAGTTCCAGTAGTGTTAAAGATCCTTTGAGCAACCTGTTGCGAATATTGGTCATCCAACTTCTGCCACATCCTGCATTCTAAAAACACTTAAAATTTCTTCAGTTGCCTCATCCGAGATTTAACGAGCCACTGCATTTTTATGGTATCTTTTGGGTATCAATTTATACCCCGTGACGTCATTCAAGATTAATATTTTAAGTTCAACATCCTTCTAAAATAAACTGATCTTAGAACATTTGAACATTTGCCCAGCCTTTATAATTGGCTCGTAATCTGAATGAAAAGGCCACACACATATACTTCATGGTGATCAACTTGTCCGTCAAGGTCACCTCATTTTTCACTGATTCAAATAAAATCATTCGGCGAAATGGTTTCAGGTCGTGATCCAGCAAATACATATTAAGTGAATCATGATATGATTCAGTCCTTCCAAAATAACTCTAATGTTTCTTATTGATATTGGAAAATGTACTTCAGTTCTGCAGGCATATAGGCAAATTCACCAAGTCGCACTATGTTTTCACGGTAATGATTGTAGATTCATCCCTAATTCTGTTTGCCGTTGAAACTCATTTTGATGATAAAAAGATAAGGACTTAACATTTTTTTCGATTTCGCTTAGTTTTCTCTTATAACGTTCGAAATTACCACGGTAAACCTTTAAGGTGGCCGTTAGCCTCGAGGATATGGTATAATTTTTCATGGTGTTGCTTTAGGAACGCCATATTTACCATTTAAAAGCAAATCATTAAGCACTAAATTTGCCTTTTTGATGTTCCTACGTATTATTTTTGCTGTTTCTGACATTTCGAGAAGTATTGTAATATGCTGAGTAAAAATAGAAAATGAATTCAAATCCCCTCATTAATTTGATGTGTTAAATATCTCTGGTTTAGGCGTTAACTGCACACTTGGTTTTACTTGCGACGTACGCTTTCAAACCTCCTCATTAATTGATATGTTTGAAATCAGGTCAGGCGTTAACTGCACACTTGGTTTTACTTGCGACGCACGCTTTCAAACCCTTAACACCTGCTTTTATCATAGAGAATCACACTTGTGACGAACACTTTCAAACTCTCTCATTAATTGATGCGTTTGATATCTGGCAATCAGGTCAATCGTTAACTGCACACTTGGTTTTACTTGTGAAATAATACACTTTCAAACCCTTAAAACCTGTTTTTATCATAGAGAGTCATACTTGTGACGTACACTTTCAAACTCTCTCATTAATTGATGCGTTTGATATCTGGCAATCAGGTCAGACGTTAACTGCACACTTGGTTTTACTTGCGACGCACGCTTTCAAACCCTTAACACTTGTTTTTATCATAGAGAATCATACTTGTGACGAACACTTTCAAACTCTCTCATTAATTGATGCGTTTGATATCTGGC